CCTTTGTGAGTTTTCAGGACTATGAGCGCTCCCACCACATTTCTGACTCACTGGTGGTGTTTCCTTCAACCTTCTGCTGATTAAAAGCTGTGCAGGAAAAGAAAGGATTCCTCTAGCAATGTAGCACCTCCTCCACAGGCAAACCCTCTCTTATCAGGCTATCTGGATTAAAACCTGGCTCAGAGCTGCTGCGAAAGATTTGTAAAGCTGTTGTGATTGAGGAGGGAGTGTATTTATGGGCGTCCCAGAGGGGACTAGGGTTCTGCTGGGCTCCCCAGATCCTCAGCGACTGGTCACATCCTCGATGCCACTGTGAGCATCCCAGCTTCTCTCCTGGACAGAGGTCCACGTCATGGATGCAGCCTCTGCAGGCTGGCAGATTGTCCCAGATCAGGGCCAAGGGTTGTCACTGCAGAGACGTAAGGACCAGGGTTAAAAGCACAGATCATACAACAGAATTGAGGAAACAGGTAGAAACCCCTTGGGATGCTGGGTTAGACACTGTGCAAGTGTGTGCTGTGTGTCAGATAGGTGCTATCATGGGCCTGACTATGTTTAAAAACAATGAATTTTTATTTAACTTCTTGCAGCCGCTTGGTTAAGACGCGTATAAGTGCAAACCCCTTTTTTGCTCCTGTGTCACAGCGCTGTGATTTCCCCGAGACAGAAAGCAGAATTAAAACCCACCCAGCTGGAGAAAGAAGTGAGGCTGCTCCCGAGCGCAGGTGCGTTGGGGAAAGTCACTCAGACAGATACAGGGCACATCGTGCATCACTTATGTTGCTTCAAATCAGTTTGGACAAAAACCACAACCAGTGTTTAAAACCTACCTGCTAGCGGAGGGAAGGGAAAGGGAAAAGGATTGCAGGGAGCTGGGCAGGAATTTGAGGGAATGCTGCCTTCTTTTTTTTTCTTTTTTTTTTATTTTGTCTAAGCATTTGTGTGATGCAGATCCTGAAGTCTCCTGCTCGCTTGCCAGTGGTGCACACTTTGCATCAGTGGAAGCCCTATCACCCGTAACCCCATCAGATTGGCATTGTGCTCAGGAGAAATGCTGGACCAGTACAACACGGAGCCAGCAGTCTCTTTTCCTTAGAGTAATTGCTTTCCTTCACCCTTCTCCTCCTCCTTCCCCAGGTCAGGGCTGCGCGCACGAGGCGAGCTTTCATTGTGAGCATCACTGTGTTGTCTAGCTGCCGGGTAAATACATCAAGCGGCTCACGCCCAGCGTGCAGCTCTCATCGCTCCTTTCTGTCGAAGCTGCTTTTCAATTAGGCTTTGGTTTTGGGGGTAGAACAGATTTCCTGCAGTGTCAAAGCCGGGCGGCTTCTTTGCTGAATTGAGGCTTGATAAATATGTATTCAGTGTCAGGCATCAGAATAGCGAGGAAGAGCCGTACGAAGTGCTCTAGAAACGCAGCATTCCACTTAGAGAAATTAAGGGGTTTTAAGCAGACACCAGTCAGCAGATAAATGCAGAAATGTACCCTTTTATCGCTGTTTTTGCAAGATTTGTGTTTGCCTGGTGCGGTGGTATCTGGGTGACCATAACAACCCATTACATTCGTTTGCCCACAGCTGATAACGCAAAACAGATTCCTGCCCTGTATCGCTGTATTGAGACTGTCAGCGATGACACACTGCCAAACAAATATTTGACAAAGGACAGCGGGGTTTTGCGCCGCTCTCTGAGTAACGCCGGCTCTATCCCACCTACTGCCTGCTCTCCCTCTCCCCTTCCCAGGGGCTTTGCTTGGATTTTTTCATTTCTCCTCCCAGTTCGCATCACTTTATTGTGGTGGAATGGGGGAAGCATCTCGAAATGGCTCAAGGTGTCTCTATGCAGGGCCAGGAGGGATTGATTATTTCTGCATGTGCCCAGGCAGTCGTGCTTGGACAGAGGCTCGGTGTCACCCCATCCTAGCATGGTTCTAGCTGGAGCCAGCCCACAGCTGGCCAGTTTGGATGGCCAGGGGTGGCCAAGGTGCCTGGGCACATCACAGGGGTGGCACAAGGACCACACTGTCCCCCTCCCCAGCCCCAGCTCCCACCAGGACTGCTCCCCACCTCGGCTCCCCTCCGCTCGTGGTTCCTGGCTGGCAGCTCCCAGCCGTCCGAATATTTTGGGAGGCAACTTGTAGAGTCAGGAAGTTCGGCCACACCTGCAGACACATCCCTCCAGAACCCTGCCCAGGAAAGCAAACCACTTGAAAGTCAATCCAGCCATACGGGATGAGATTAATTTAGCTCAAACATTTTTGAGTGCGTTTACATCAGGCGTTTACACCGGGGCAGCCGGCTTGACTTTAAGCAGGATTAGTCGACTGGAGGAAGGGAAAGCGTTTCCTTGTCTGAAGGGCCCTTGGTGGGATGCTGCTGCGGGGTGGATTAGAGCCCAGCAGAGCCCTCTGTTCCTCGCAGCACAAGGAGCTTAGGGAAGGGATGCCGTGGGCGGAGGGGCTGGTGAGACACGATGCTAAGCACAGCCCATCAGGCAGCTCGGAGGAATCCTGTTTCTGTACATCAGCTTGATCACATTTTGCATGAAGCTGGGATTTATCTCAGTGGCGGTGCCGGCTTAAGCAGCGAATTCCACTCCGAAGAAATTTCCAGGCGGAAAGAAAAAGACTTGTTAGAAGAGAGTCTCGCTGATGGGTGAGACGGGAGTCTCTTGGTGGCTGCGGGGTGACCGTGACACGTGTGGACGTGCCCGTTGGCATCCCCAGCTCCGCAGTCCTGGAGCAACGAGGCTGCACCGGGTCCGCCCCGGGCGCTCGGGAAGCCTCTGAGCAGCGGGAGGATCTTCCAGCCGGCTTCACGTGCCAGCCCCGGGGTTATTCCCCAGCTGGAGCTGCAGAAATCCGTAGCCTGTATCCAATGTGGGAGAGGTAATGGGTACCCAGCCCTGGCAGCGACACGCCTCTTGGCCCCACATCAGACGGGGCCACGGGGCTGCCTGCAACGCCGGTGTTTAGCACCACCGCCCCGCTCCTGCCCGTGCGGGGTTGGGGCTCCTGCCTTGCTCATTTTCCCATGCAACCGTGGAAACACTCACCGACAACAGCTGGTAACAGCCTCACCTGATTTCTCATCCTTTTGGGGGCCCTTCTGGTCAAACGACGTGACTTGGGGTTTTAGAAAAGCCTTAGGCGTGAATTAAAGTCTCTTTTCTCTTTTTTTTTTTAAACGCTGCTCTGATAGGAGGTCTCACCACGGCTCCCACACTCATGCCTACCAGCTCAGGTCCCTTTTTAAGCACACTGAACAGGACTTTCCCCCCAGTGTGAGCGGGCAAAAGGCATGAGCTAACCCTCCCGTCGGGCAGCCTCCGACTCCAGCTCTCGCCTACCAGATGGCCACATTTTACATTCTGGCCACACAAGCCCTTGTTTGCTGATGCTGAGCGATTTGGGGCAGGAGAGGAAGCTCAGGCAGGCGAGTGCGAGCGGAGCAGCTCCCCACCGGGGTCCAGGTTATGTGTGCTGTGACCCCACTTATTTGTTCCTCGCCGTCCGAGAGCGCTATTTCAGCTGTAATTTAATTCCAGGCCTCCAGAGAGGCCCCTTCTTGTGTCCACCTCCATCCTGCCCACATCCCCTCCAGGGATGCCCCTTTCCTCCCTCTCCTGCCCCCGGCACCACAACCTTTTGCCGTGCCCGACTCGGCTGAGTCTCGCTGGAGAGCAGACGCCGCTGCGTATAAAGTGGTGTCGGCATCGTGTCAGCCGGTGCTTTTCTTTCTTCCTCTCGGTTGGTATTGAACCGTGGTGGCAAAGAGCACTCCGACTGAAGATGATGTCTCGGGTGAGATGTCTAACTCGGGTCCCGACTGCTCAGCAGTCATTAAACATCTCAGGGAAGATGTTCCAGGAACTTGGATGTTAACCTTGTGGTCCTGGACAGATTCCAGCTCGTTTAATTACGGCCTTCATAGCTGAAATTTGCTCTGCACTTTTGACCAGTTATGGGATTTTTATTTTTTTTTGTCCTCATCTCCTCTAAGCTGCTGAGCCGCCTCGCTACGGGCTGCCGCATTCCCCGCATGAGCTGAAGCAATAAGCAATTACTGCTGCTCCCGCTCCCAAGATTCTCAAATTCATTGTATTTTCTGGTTACTTAACAATTCGGGATTCTGCAAAGTATCACTGGCTCACCTGTACAGGGAAGTTTTACCTGTTTAATCTGGATATTCTAACCAGTACAGAAATATTACATGACCCACATACGTGCCGTTGTTGCAAAGTACATGAACTTTATTATTCATGTAAGTAACATAATATAAATACCTCTTGTGGAAAAAAAAAAAACTATAAAAAGTAATTTGAAGTAAGAAATAATGTAATGCAAGCTAAACAACCTACACACGCTCCCTTATAATGAAAAACTGTATGACTATAAAGCTGTATGAGCATCAAACCACTGTATGCATGCATATATATATATATGAGTGTGTATATATATATAAACTCTATGGTTATAAATATAACCTTATATAAGGTTATAAATATAACCTTCCAATATCTGAAGGGAGCCCACAGGAGAGCTGGAGAGGGACTCTTGATCAGGGAATGGAGTGACAGGACAAGGGGTAACGGTTTGAAATTGGAAGAGGGGAGGTTTAGATTAGATACCAGAAAGAAATTCTTTGCTGTGAGGGTGGTGAGAGCCTGGCCCAGGTTGGCCGGAGAAGCTGTGGCTGCCCCATCCCTGGAGGGGTTCAAGGCCAGGCTGGATGGGGCTTGGAGCAACCTGGTCTGGTGGGAGGTGTCCCTGCCCAGGGCAGGGGCTTGGAACTAGATGATCTTTAAGGTCCCTTCCAACTCTAACCATTCTATCATTCTATGAAAAGTGCATTAAGGTGTTTTAAACTCACACCTTGTGTTCCTGGGATGAATTTCCCCCTTTGGCACGCCTTGGTGAGCAGTCCAGGGTTATTAAAATCGCATTGCCCAACTCTGTGGTGGGGTGTGGGTGCCATGTCACCAGGAGGCACGGGAATGCCATGTCCCCCGGCGTGAGCTGGTTTGGGAACTGGGGACCCCCAGACCGACAGGCGGGCGATGCCCTGGAGGCTGGATGTGCCCCCATCCCACAGAACGCCCTGGTTTTGGGGTACAGGCGATGCCCTGGGGGCTGGATGTGTCCCTGCCTCACAGAAAGCCCTGATTTTGGGGTGCAGGCGATGCTTTGGGGGCTGGATGTGCCCCTGCCCCACAGAAAGCCCCGGTTTTGGGGTACAGGCGATGTCCTGGAGGCTGGATGTGTCCCCGTCCCACAGAAAGCCCCGGTTTTGGGGTACAGGTGATGCCCTGGGGGCTGGATGTGTCCCTGCCTCACAAAAAGCCCTGATTTTGGGGTGCAGGTGATGCTTTGGGGGCTGGATGTGTCCCTGCCTCACAGAAAGCCCCGGTTTTGGGGTGCAGGCGATGCTCTGGGGGCTGGATGTGCCCCTGCCTCACAGAAAGCCCCCCGGTTTGGGGGTACAGGCGATTCCCTGGGGGCTGGAAGTGCCCCTGCCTCACAGAAACTCCCCATTTTGGTGTGCGGGCGCCTCTCCAGAGATGGGATGTGGGGGAGGTTGTTTCTGAGGCGATTCCACCCACGGCCCTACCATAAGGCCATTTCTCTGCCCGGAGCAGGGGGGAGGAGGCTGCCGTCCCTTCGGAGGGCGCCGCTCCCTCAGCACCTGCCCGAGGAAGGCTCCGGGGCCCGGGGCCTGGCCCGCCCGGGGCCTGCAGGCGGCGCCGCGCCCCCGCCGAGCCCTTCCACCGCGGCGGGGCGGCCG